TCATTGGCTTTATGATTGAAGGTTACGCCCTAGAGTCTTTTTACTGCTTTGTAATTGGTTAGAGTTTTGAAAATGAATAAAGAGAGTTTGAGTTGGTCTTGGGGAGAGAGCACGATAGACGCAGTCTGAGAGTCGAGGGCAGTCCTGGAGAGCCTTGGGGCGAGTGTTGACGCAGTCTAAGTGAGTCTTGGGGATATTTCCCCAGGGCGCTGTGTCTTATAGAGTGCTCGATTGACCGACTAAGACGAGAGCTGAAACGTATTTCGTTGTGTGTGTCTTATTTGACTGTAAAGTATAAGTGACTTTCTCGATCCCGTACCTCAAGGGGACGAGATATAGAGACGAGACGAGTTTCCCCCCTGGCAAGTGTGGAGAACCCGAGAGTAGAAGAATTTTCCCCCTGATACTGTGGCCACAAGAGGTATAAAGTATACGATTATACTTACCAAACAACGTGATGTTCGGAAATGAACGAAATATATCTAAAATGTTGTTAAGCAATATACAGTTATTTCAGATGTTTGAGTCCGTGTAATAAAGATACAAGTTATTCAATTATTATAATAATAAAGTCAATGGGGAAAGATCTATCCATTTGTCACCAACCCGAAGTGATAATATACACATGTGACCAGTTGCTCATTTAGTGTGTTACTATAATGGTATTGTTATCACATGCTTATATCCACAAACAGTGTGACGTAATACCAAACAGATTGAAGATGCATATCACATAATGTTGAGTTTTCGAGTGTACTTGCAGAGCTTTCGAGTGTAATGCGATGATTTATACTACGGATTGTAGTAACAATGGTTCATTTTGGTAAAGTCACATGTGTATTTTTGGAATTATTATTTAGTCCTTGAAGTTTAAAAAAAACATAGCTAATTAAATCCTTGACTCGGATTGATGCAAAAATCGGGCGGTTATCTGACGTTGGATTATATATAAATCACCTCTGTTTGACAATAACAACAGGTTGCATTCACTAGAACTATGAATTGTACGCAAGGTAGCGTTGACTGAACAGTAGGTAGTAAGTCAGCTCTGGGATGGAAACCAATCTTAAAAATTCTACCTGAAAACAATATTGTTTTGGGATGATATTTGTAGTTATTAATGTATTAGATTGTAGAAACAATATACTGATATTCAACGCCAATAACATTTAAACCCAAAAAGAGGATACACCATGTTTACAAGACATCTTCTGTGTTTTCACTAAACCTACTATTATTCCATGCTCCATGAGATGAATATTTGCATTGTGTTCAGGCTTTATATGCAATCGTCGACACTAAGATAAAATAGTTACAGATGATCATTATTGGTAATGACATTGTTATATGTGCCTGTGTTCATGTTTCTAACCATCCCATGTACCATAGGCGTTGTATATATCTACACTTACGACCGTTTAAGAATAAAGACAATTTGTATATACCTGCAATACCCATCACATTTACTGTTGTCTCTGTACCCTTATTTGTACCCATAGCAATACTCACTACCTTCACCTTATATACCCATAAATACACTTTATTCTCATGACCTTTCTATGTATCAGCGACTGTTTCACAATGACCCGTCTGACATTACCCATGATCAATCTTTTATTAAACGATCAACAGTAATATCGCTCACCTTCAAAATCCAACAAATCAGGCAAATAGACAATAACAGAGAAACGGCAAATATAACCATCATGATAATCCAAGCAGCACCAATCCCACTGGTCTCATATGTAGGAATAGTGAACGAAAACGTTAATACTGACGCAATGGACGAACACACGGCTAACACCACCAACACAATTGTTGTCAACAACGCCCTGGAACAATTGTAGCAACGACTAAATCGCAGTGGAAAACTTTCTGTCAGATTTGTCATAGCCTCCTGCAAGTGTTCATGGGTAATCTGAAATACCAGAGGAATAAGTTACTAGTAGTCGACACTCATTCAAATTAATTACCGCTAAAAAGTTAACCTAATCTATACTGACCATTGCGGCGTCAGAAAGGTTCGAGTGGAAGTAGGTTGTTGATTGGCCTTATGTGGGTGTGGATGATATGTATTAATTGACAGGTTGTTATTTATCTGTTATGCGAAATAATAAGTTGATAAGTTGAAACATTCGTGAGAAACAGATGCCCCAATTGTGGTATTTGTTCCAGAAATGTAGATGCGAAATATTGAATTAATCGTTTGAAGCATTCATGAGACACCAAATGACCCGATTTTGCTCATTTGTAAAGAAAAAGATTTGGCAATACACATGAAAAACAAATATGTGTCCATTTTTGCTGGGAATCCAAGATGACAGCCAAATCATGCGACTTTTTTGTGGTGTGCGAAAGATTTCATTGTAGAGATGCACAAAAAGAACTTGAGTTCTACTGTGGCCCATATAAACAATTGGAATTCAGTTACATGACGCAATATTTACCAATAAACACTATGTGGTACAAGTAACCTGTAGAATGCTGTGTGGGTAATATTTTTATATTGATTTTTGTTGCATTTGCAGCAAATAGTTACCAAACAATGAAAAATCGATAGGATTGAATATACCTCTCAGGTGGCTTCACATGCATAGTTCAAGACTGCCTAACCGGTGCTTATACCAGGATTTAGTTACAGCACCTAGACGGTCTGTGGTTACAGCTTCATGTTCCGAGTAATCGCAAGAAATTGACATGACAATAAAAATTCATGAAAGACTGGCACTCCCATGCAATTAACAGCGAGTGAAATTCCTGGGATTGAAACATATATTTTGAAGTCACTGATGTAGGCAATGAATAACTTCAAGTTGACATAAAGACGAGGTAGTTTATTTAATCAGTCCTCAACTAGAGGCTGAAATTATAATTAATTTGTTTATTTCAATTTCTCCTGAAGTAAAATAGAATACACTGGTGAAACACGGTAGTAACCCTGGGTGAAAGGATGTTTTGGGGTGTAGTTTACATTGTGTATGGAGTGGTAGGGTCGGGTGTAATTTGTTCATTTCCAACTCTTATGAAGTCACGAAGAATTTCACTTAATTTATTTTTGCTGACATGTTTTCAAG